AAGCCCATTTGAGCTTATATAAATAAGCTGCTAAGATTTAAAAACTGTAAAGAAAAAATTTCATATTTTTGCTAGCACAAGAAAAGTAAAAATCCTGGTTGTCTCAATCTTGTTCCCTATATGGATTTTTATTGGAAGTTGAACAATTGAACAGATTTGGATTGCAGATCGTGATTGTTAGAATTCAAGAAAAACAAAGGACTTTATAGAAGTCAAAAAAGGTATAATTTTTGTCACAGTTTCTATCTAAATACAAAGTATGTTCTTGCTGGGAATTGGAATATTGTTTAAATTCCGCTGTGCATAATTAAATAAATTCTCAACACCTGCAGCGTAAGGCTTCGCAGTTAACAAGTTTCCTTTGTTGGAATTACAGGGGTTGGAAATCCTTGTACAATGGTGGGCCACTAACTTTTCTTCTTGTTCGAGACCAAGTTTTATGGTGAATGGGCAAATATGTTTACTATACTAGGCTTTGAACGTAAATGTCACAGCTAAGTTCAATCGATATAGGTCGTAAATATTTTTAATGTGATTAATGCATTTTATTTATAGCAAATCAATTATTTAATTGATTTAGTATTCTATTAATTTAAATAATAGAGCCGTACATTCAAATCTTAGTCTTTTTTTAGTCACAAGAAATTGAAATTGTAATTGTAAGATACAAATTACATACAACTGAATTTTAATCATTTGTGGTCGTAAATAATAATGATATATAAATATTATTATTACAAATAGACCATCACATGTGACATTTCTTACTTGTGCAGTAAATAACTGATTGCACAAGTTAAAGTGTGCTGATACTTAAAAGAACACGTGGATGTTTTGCTAAGAGAACAAAAATTGAAGATCCGTTGGAAAGATGTCACATGGATCTTAATGTCAGTGGTTAACCTCTAACTTTCGGTAGTGGAATTGATCCTTCGACTTGATATCATCATAGTACCTTATATGTAAATATTCACAATTTGGTGATATTGGACGTTGCTCTATCAAGAGTCGCAAATACAACATCATTCGAATATGTCAATAATCATATTAAAGTTGTGAATCATTAATAGATGATTCATCACTTTTAGATAGTAAGAGATTATGATATACATTTCATTCAATTAAGTTGGTACTAAAATAATTGACCAAAATGCACTCATAAGTCAAAAAAGTTATTGACTTACATTAACTTAACAGTTGAATGAAAGATATGATCAATAATTGAGATTGACACAATTTATATTTCATAATTGATTGGATTATATTGACGAGGGTTTATTGTTTCACAGTAAACAAATAGTTGATTTTGTCATACCACGTGATATTTTTGATCACATGTATTGCCATGAATATTGTTGGATGTCAATTTGAAACGATGAATATGAATTAATTAATCTATGTGAGTTAATAATAAGTTATAATCGTGTTTTAGTTGATCTTATTTTGATTAGATCCAAATAATATTCAAGTTATTATGTATCGTGATCGGGAACCTGATGGATCACATGCAAAGAATGAAATACAATAATTGATAACTGCCAAGTGTTTGACAATTGTTTAATTAAGTTACTAATTAATTAAACATTGGACCGTATTAAGTTTAAGTAGAGGTCGATATGGTTCCATTTGGTTTTAGATCCAAGAGAATAGAACCAAGTCATGAAGTAATTTTTTTTTTTTTTTTGGTGTTTTAGATATGGAAGCAAACTGAATTGAACCGAATCGTCAGGCTCTGCTTTGGTTTCGTTCGGTTCTAATTTCATTTCTTAAATTTTTAGACTTGCACCATATAAGTTAGTAATGAATACCTAAAAAAATAAACAACAAATATTTAACAAGTTCAAATTATCAATCATCGAGATCATAAAATTCCAAACCAACAACTAAAATATAGTCATAATTTGCATTTACAGATCAATTTTCATTCTCATACAAAAACTTATTTAGTTTTGACAACACGCCCCCCAAAATAAAGGATGAATTATGTAAAACTTTTACAGTCCACTTTCACAAACAACCATTAACAAATACTTCATGAATATTTATTGAATTTTCCTCTATTGGTGAAAAGCACAAATAATTCAGCAAATAGTCAAGGTTAAAAAAAGAAAAAGAAAAAGAATTTTTAATTCTTTTTAAATGAGAACCTTGATTCTCTCATTCTTATTCCCTTTGTGGATTTTCATTAGAGGCTGGACTATTGGGCAGCTGTTAATTACAGATTGTGAATGTTTGTGTTCAAAATAAGCATAGGAGTTTGTAGAATTCAACAAATGTATAATTCCTATCATAGTTTCTTTCTAAACACAAAAAAGATTCTTGGTGGAAATTGAAATGTTGTTTAAATTTCGTTGTATATTTTAAGTAAATTCCCAACATTAACAGCAGTTTGGTGGTGGATAGTCGAGGTCATAGTGGAAGGGTTTATGTGTATGGTAGGCAAAATGGATTCTTGTGGTTCAATCCTACATTATGGAGCATATTGATGTGGTTGTTTGAAAGCCAAGGATGGTGAATGGAGGTCTATGGGAATTTATGGAAATCCTAGGCCGAAACAAAGGTGATTCACATAGGAGTTGAGTAGGTTGCTAAGTGGGTATGTGAGTGGGCATGGGTTGGCATAGGATACTTCAAATAGATCACATATCGTTCAGGAGAAAGGAGGGGACAAGGTGTATTTCTAACCATGATTATTTGTGATCAAGATTCTTCAAGGAGATTGAATAATTTACTAAAGGTATAATTCTAACCACAATTTCTATCAATAACGACGATCTTTGAAGGGAATTGAAAATATTTTAAATTTCCCTACATGTATTGTTAAATTAAGAACAGTTTAACATCCAGCTCATGAGAGCTTGATTTTTCGCCAGAAATTATAACTTGGATCAGAGAGGAGTTTTGGATTTGAATCGTCCCTAGTATTTTCAATATATATCAGTGGACAGTTTTTGGCTCCAAAGAGAAAATATTTTGAGTTCAAGCACTCTTACCGCCAACAGTGATTTGAAAATTATTGAAATCCAACAAACAATTCAACCAAACAAATATTTAAAGTCAAAATATGAAATTTAACATTTAAACATCTAACTATAGGGTTCATCATTATCCTAATGTTTATACAATTAGCCGAACATCGTGAGATTATAAAAAACACAGGTTGGATTGATAATACATAATGCTGAACTTAAGTTTAGAGAAAGATGGAAAATAATCTTGAATTGCTTCGACACTAGCTTCTTGAATAATCTTCTTCAATCTTCTTTCCTCTCCAAAATCCAAGTGACTTGTATGAAATTTGATGTATGGAATATGTGTTTTGCGCTCAAAAGCTTCTCTCCTCACGTATATATAGTCCCTAAAATTATGTCAAGAATCGTGTCCCAATTTCATTCCATGTTTTAGGAAAGAAAATATTCCGTCTCGAACCACCATATGATCATATGATTATGTTTGTCGTGATCACATGATATAATTCTTGTCCATGGTCGTGAACAATGTAACCATCTTGCGATCGCAAGGGAACACCCAATTTCTTCCTTTTTCAAGTTGGTCTTTGAAATTGCTATCCCTACCTTATAATGAGGCCTCAATAATAATAAAGCTACATCTTGTCATTTGTAATATTCAATTTTGTCAAATATTGTATATCAAACATGTCCTTGCGTATCCTCCCTGTTAGTTTTCCTAACACGTTCTTCAGAACACTGCAAGACCAAATTTCATGGCTTATAGACTAACAATGGATGGTCATTGAATGCAAATGTTCCAATTAAAATAGCAAAAGATATCATTTACATTTTACAGAATCATTATCTAGAAAGACTATTCTGTATTCCCACCAAGAATTTTTTTAGGCATTTTGGAAGGTATAACCTCTATCTTGTTCACTATCATCCTCTAAAAGCTAACCTTTATTTTCATTTCACAACAATATTGGTTGTTACTTTTCCCTTGAAATGAGTTATATTTTATCTTCTTACACATTAATTTAACAATCAACCCCCACCCCGCTCACAAGAAAGAAAGAAAGTTGAAATAAGTTACTTAGCTTAGTAACTTCTATTAACAAAGATGTGTGATTGATGAGGTAACGTTTCTGCAGGTTGTAAAATATTTGGTCAGAAGACTAATCATAAGATAGAGTTCGTTTACCCAAATAACAAAAGATAGCCTGGAGCTAATAAAGACCTTTTTCACCACTGAAAATTTTCCTAGCAAGTGGGGTGAAAGCCTCCCTGCAATATGACCATGAAGTGTTTTCAAGATTGATGAATTTTATTCCACCCCCAGACCTCTTTTCAATTTGGAACTATTCTTGGGGGACAGGGCCTGGACGTCCAGGCCTGTTCGTTTGGCAAAAGCCTTAAACTTGTTAGGCTTCCCAGAGCGAACTCGCACCAAATGATCTTCCGCATTATGGCCCTATTTGACCCACATTATTTCAAAAAAATGCGCTCTTAAAGATTAATTTGATATTATTTCAACCAGACATTTTTCAATAAAATAATATTACGCGCAAATTCACAACTTTTTCTTATTTTTTAACCATATTTTCCATCAATACACTATTAAAAAATGCGTGTGACTCTATCAAATGCTATATGGGGAGAATTTTGAGCATGACAACATTTTAAATAATAGTAGACGGACATGCCAGGCCCAAAAAATTTCATTTTCAATACATTTGCTGAGATTTTTTTTATTTTTTTTAGATATATGCTGACCTGACACTGACCATACCATACTGGGCAAGGCTGGGAATGTGTGCCTGGTACAGTTTTGGCACACCCAGGTGAAGATAGACGATTGGAATACTGACAAGCCAGTTTGGTCCATTGTAATAAAAAACATGAAAACAACTCATAGTGTCGCAGACATGGAGAACTAAAGAGCCTATAGTACAATTTATTTGGCAGTAAAGAGCGCATTTGCTTAAAGTTCACTAGAGTAAAGGCACTCGTCTACAAGTTGGCGAAGATGCGGGTTCTCTAGAGCTGCAGAAACTCTTTCTTTATCATTTAACTGCTTATTAACTGCACCAAATACAAACAATGAGTGTTCTGAGTTAGGTTAAAGCAGAACACAAAACATGCACAAACAATGGCCAAGGAAATTAGCATCTGCTTTCTTTTTTGCATCCACACATGAATTCACATTCATGGGTTCTACATTACAGGAAGTAGCTATTTATCCACATACTAGAGCAGGTGTAGCTCGAGATAAACTTGCAGCCAATTAATCAGTAAAAGATATATATCCAGCAGCTTAAAGATGAGTATTTTAGGCCAAGCCCTATATGGCATTAGGAATTGAAACAATGATGATTAGCCAACAATACAATTGGTGTGTAGTAAATAATAATACAAATTTATGCAAGTCTCTGTCCGTTTTAATTTATGCATTCTTTTCTATCGGTGCTTCATTCTCTTTCTTCTTCTTCCTTGGGGAGACACATTGCTTCCCCACCTGATATTTAAGATGATGATCTATCAAACCATGATTTAGTCTGCCAAATTGGTTCTCATCCATATGATTAACCTAACTCATAACTTGCCTAGGATGGCTAGTACAACCAAGATATGCTCTAGGTTTTTTCAGATACTTTTTTATTGTTCAATGTTCAGTTCTGTCCTATAATATACATATAAATTGAGAATCATATCTGATGTAAATAAATCATATAGGATTTTCACCTGATTCTTCATTTGCATGAGATCCAGGAGCCACTTTTATATCTACCTGTAAAACCACATTCGTAAACATACATATTCATTTAGATACATGCAAAATCCAAATTAGCAAATTCCCAAACAAAAAATTGAAATATATGATACTCTGGCAAGCATGTACTACTACTAGTACTACTATGCTCATTTTTAATTTGGCCACGTTAGAATACTTTTGCCTTGTGATGTAGGTGGAAAAGATACAAGAATATAAGATTTATTTACATTTTGTTTCAATTTTTTGTCTACAAAAAACAAAACAGAGGAAGAAGAGAAATGCCATATATAAATGCTTCAGTATAACCTGTTTAAAATTTACCAGGGAAAAATAAGAAAAGTAACAAGGTGGAATTGTTTTCTTATTTCATTTTCACCATCTATTTCCAGACTGCCTTGCATCTGATTCCAAAATCCGAATATAAAACATCTTAGAATCGACTTGTTTCCCTTATTTTGCTTTTCTGCATACAAATGATTATGAGATGATATCTTCATGGTATTCTTCTAAACATATTTTCTAACAAAAGACATTGCGATAACGATGAGAAATGGAGATAGGATGCGGCTGGAATCATTTAATATTATGTCCTTTTCTCGATAATGCAGGATCGTGCTTGAAAAAGAATTGAGTCCAAAGGAGTTGGCCTAGGGTGGATTCTTGGGCTTTATTTTGAGTGATTTAGGGAGAATTGTATTTGTGCTATAAGCTTAGCTATTGGACAAAGTGGTGGAAATATCTCGTGTTAAGTCTGTATCAAAGCTGAAGGTTCAGTGTTCAGGCCGATGTTGGAGCATTATCCTGGAGTGGGTGAATAATGCAGGAACATGCTTAAAAAGGAATGGTCACATGGGAGTGAGCTTAGGGTGGATTCCCAAGCTTGATTCCGGGTGATTTAGGATGGAATTACATCTATATCATGAGCTATAATTGTTGGGCAAAATGGTGACAATACTCTAAATAAGGTAGGGTCTCATGTTCGAGTTGTTGAAGAACATTCTTTTGGAATCAATGGATAATGCAGGAGTATGCTTGAAATGCGGGTGAGCCTAGGGAGTTAGCTTAAGGTAGATACCCAGGCTTGGGCCTATATATTTGGTAGATATCCCCAGAATAAAGGATCATAGTGTGTACCTCGGTCCTATAAATAATTGTATTCAGATAGAGCTAATAATAAGATTGGTTTATCGTCCTCTATTGTGGCCTATCTTCTCTTCCTCTCCCCGGCTTTAGAAATAACCTGGATTAACAAACAAATCAAAATTGGAGAAAAGTCTCCAAATTTCATTTATATTTATCAAAACTATTCTATCCAAACACTACGATATTGGGTGAATTGGTTTAAAATAATTTAGCCCCTATCTGGTGGTTCTTTTCTTTTCTTTTTCTTTCTTTCTTTTTTCTTATTTTCAAGATTTTATTATTGATAAAACTCCTTCTTTATTGCATGACATCTGACAAGTTTCAAACAAATTACTGCAGATATACTATTGATTGTACATTACCAAATATGCCCTTTCCACATTGCATCCCTTTCTCTTTCTTGAATCTTCCTCCAATTTCTTTTTCGACCTACGCCTCATTTCAGTGGACAGGATAAACTTCGTACACCGTTAGTGGACCAACGAGTTTGCCCATCTTTATGTCTTCGCCTTCTTTCTGACCCTCGAGTACCAGCAAGTGCAAAATCAGACATCTCTTGCGGAGCCCCCTGTCGTGGCCAAGTACAGTATTCCACGGCTTAACCCTTTTTTATTCCAGTTGACCACACTTTGTGCCACCCATTCATCCACTCTTTCACATGATGGATCCATACAATAATCTGGTACAATTGTCCATCTTTCCATCTATCGAATTAATTGTTCTTGCCCTTTTTCTAAAACTGCAATTAACTTTTGAGTTCGGTTGTGGCACACCATTTGTTGGTCACGTCAACAGAAGAAGCACAAATTGTAATGATCCTTTCATGTCGCGCACGGAGGATTACCATCCACACTCCAGTGTGTACGCACCTCAAGTCCAGAAGGAACCTGTCAACCGAAAAAATACCAGATGGAACGAGAAGCATAAAATATTTATAACATGCGAAATGGTAATCGCCGAAGGACTGGGAAAACGCTTGCATGAATTGCTTCGATGCAACAGAGTTGAGTACAACATAACAACCACAATTGTTGCTGACGAGGATTGTGGAACAGAAATTTAAAAGTAATGTTCTCTGAGTTTTTTCGAATCCATTGCACTTTGCATGCTGTCCATGCTGAATAGGATTCCTCACGAGTCCCCTAACTTCGAAGATCAACTACTTAATTGATGTTGTAATTCCCAAACACACTAGTTGCAACCACAGCAGGCCTGTACATTGAATACCTTCTAGGAGAATCGTTTGCAAAATTGTACGTGAGTTTACATTTCTAGTCAGGTGTATTAATTCACGCTAGGCTGATTAACAAAGAAACTTTGTGCGTACTCTAGTAATTCCCGACTTTAATTGATCAATGCACCACAATCAAACATTCGTTTGGAAAGCCTATCTGGATGGAAAATCTTAAATTAACATAGACATGGTAGATCAGAGTAGTATCATGAGCATGCTTTGCAATTGCCTCCATTGTGAAATCCTTTGCATCAGAATGTGTTCTACTAACTAAACGATCTGTACTATCAAAAAACCCAAATAATTTCTGAAAAATTTCACTTCTCCATTCTGTGGTGCCTTATTGTATGTAAATGTACAATATTATAATCTACAAGGAAATTAAATAAATTACAATCTCCAAAAATAGCATATCTAATCTATTCAAAAATTAACTCAAATATATACGGTAACATCCCCCCCTCAAATTAATGCTGGGAAGTCAACCAGCAACAATTTGCATACAAGAAAGTGATGTCGCCGTAGAGTCAATGATTTGATGAAGATATCCGCCACTTGAAGGTCAGAAGAAATGTAGGGAAGGGAGATCACTCGATCCTCCAAAATATCATGAATAAAGTGACAATCAATCTCAATGTGCTTTGTGCGTTCATGAAAGACAGGATTGTTTGCAATTTGAATAGCACTAGTATTGTCCGCATGAAGATGAGTAGGATTAGTTTGAGAAACCCAATTTCTCTGAGTAGACCATGTAACCAAATAATTTCAGAACAAGTCGTGGACATGACACAATACTTAGCTTCAGTAGATGATTTAAAAACACGATCTTGTTTTTTACATTTCCAAGAGATCAACACATCGCGCAAAAACATATAACAACTCGTAGTCGAGTGACGTGTATCTGGACACCCAGTCTAATCAAAATTACTGTAGGCAGAAAGTTGAAAACCAGACCCTCTAGAAAAGAACAACCCACGAGTAAGTGATCCACGAAGATAACGAACAATTTGGCGAACAGTAGTAAGATGGAGGTGTCGAGGACTAGACATAAACTGACTAACCTGATGGGCGGCATAGGAGATATCCGAGAGAATGTTGGTTAAATAGATAAGACTCCCAACTAAACTACGATATAGAGTAGGATCATCCAGAAGATCCCCTTCATCTTTCTTGTACTTTACATTTACTTCCATTGGAGTGTCCACCGAAGAAGTCTTCCAACCCAACTAACGCAATAAGATCTTGAACATATTCATGTTGGTTTAATAAAGTACCATTGGCCCAATGATGAACTTCCAATCCCAAAAAGTACGTAAGCTGATCAAGATCTTTCATATGGAAAGTAGCATGTAAAAGCTGTTGAAGCTTTGATATTAAACTACAACCAGTACCAGTAATGATGATGTCATCCACATAAACCAAAAGAAGCACAATACCCATTGTAGACGTCCGGAAGAAAAGAGAAGAATAATACTGACTCTAGGTAAAATTGAAGTTAATAAGTGTGTGACGAAACTTCTCAAACCATGCTCGAGGAGCCTGCTTCAGGCCATATAGAGAATGGCGTAGTCTACAAACATCACGAGATAAAAAGGTAGGCATACCAGAGGGAAGTTTCATATAAATCTCCTTGTGAAGATTGCCATGAAGAAATGCGTTCTTCACATCCATCTAATGTAGGATCCATGATTGTGAGACAGCAATAGCTAAGATTGTCCGAACTGTGGTCATTTTGGCAATAGGAGCAAATGTTTCCTCATAGTCGACCCCATATTTCTGTCTATTACTCAGAGCTACAAGACGAGCTTTGTATAGATCCAACGAGCCGTCAGAGCGAAGTTTCACAGAAAAATCCACTTACTCCCAATAGGTTTCACATTTGGAGGACAAGACACGACGTCCCATGTGTAGTTCTCTTCAAGTGCCTGAAGTTCTGCTTTCATTGCATTTTGCCAACACATGTTCCATGGCCTGTTTGTAGCAAGAGAGGATGGAAATAATAGATAAAGCAGCGATAAGAGAAATATGAGATGAGAAATCATACTGATCAAGAAGTCGAGAAGGACATGTAGACCGATGAAGATTGGTGGGAACTATAGCAGGATTAGGTGTCGGGTCGAGATCTTGAGGGGGCTCACGAGGACGCTGTTCATACATAAGACCAGGTTTATATCGTGCCATAGTAGTTGGGGAATCAGGGAAGCTAGGCAGTCTAGATAAAGATGTGGATGATAGCTTAACACGAGATGAAAAGAAATATTGATTTTCTAGGAAAACCACATTCCTAGAGATAGGAATACGTTGAGCATGAGGATCATAGCAAACAAATTCCTTTTAAGAGACAGCATAACCAAGAAACACACATTTAGTAGACTGAGCGATTAGCTTATGTCGCTGATAGGCAGGAAAATGCACAAAACAAATACAACCAAATGTACGAAAATTAGAATATGAAGGTAAATATCCAAACAATTTAAAGAAAGGAGAAACATGATTTAATGTAGGAGAGGGTAGGTAATTAATTAAATGAACCGAAGTAGAAAGTGCTTCACACCAAAATCTAGGAGGCATGAGTGAGTCAAATAGAAGCGTTCTTACCATATCGAGAAGGTTACGATTCTCTCTTAGCAACACCGCATGTCAAAGGACAAGAACATTGGGAGATGATACCCATGCTTTAGAGAAAGTCCTGTAGCTCATTGGACATATATTCACCTTCAGAATCAAATCGTAAGATCTTGATGCCGCTAGAGAATTGAATCCCAAGAAGGGCAAGAAAATGCATAAAGACTGAAAAGACTTCGGCTTTGGCCTTTAAAAAATAAACCCAAGTGAAATGACTAAAATCATCAATGAATGTAACAAAATACTTATATAGTCCACATGAGAAGTATGAGCTGAAATTCCCCAAACATCACTGTGAATAATATCAAAATATTATGAGGCGTAAGAGCCATGAGAGGGAAAACGTAGAACTTTACTTTTGCCAATTTTGCATGCAGTACATTCAAAAGAAAGATCAAGAGAAGAACATCTTTTATTTTCTAATATACCAGAATTAAATAAAGTACGGAGTACATCTGAGTTTGGGTGGCCTAAACGGTTATGCCACAACTTATTTCCAAGACTAGCAGCAATACATGCAAAAGAAAGTAAAGGAGAATGAGGGGGAATTAGGAAAGTAGAGATATCCAAGGGAAACAGATGTCCTACTTTAGGTCCCTTCGCGATCATCTTCCCGGACACTGGATCCTGCACAACACAACCAGAACGAGAGAAATGGACGTCAAAATTATGATCAACCAATTAACCAACAGAGATCAAATTAGTAGAAAGATTAGGAGACACAAAAAAATTAGTCAAGGAAGAGGAAAGGTCACCAATAGCGCTGATAGACAAACTGCCATCAGCTGTGTGAATGTTTAAATTGCCATCATACCTTTTAATATTGAAAAGAGGAGTAACACTATTGGTCATATGGTTGGAGGTGCCAGAATTAAAGAACCACGGCTTAGAAGAAACTGCAAGAGCACCTGAGAGTCCAAAAGCAGAAAAAAGGTGAATTGATCATTTGTTGTACTATTTTAGGAGTGAGGGTGGATGGATTAGGGGAGACAGCAAAAATAGGATTATGAACCATGTGTAAGGCAACAGGTAGTGCAGCAAAGGTAGAGACACGAGTGGAGGTATGGTAGACAGTAGTAGACTTCCTTTCAGGGCGAATAGGACAAACAGAGATGTAATGGCCTTGTTTCTTGCAATAGTTATAATATTTCTTAGAACAATCTCGAGCAATATGATCAAAAACTTTACAGTTATAGCATTGGATGACATGCATGTCTCCACCCTTATTCCTCCCTTGTGCTGCATAAGCTACTGGAACATGAGTATTAATAATAGCTCTGTGTTCTATGGCAGCCTGAGTCAAGATACGTTGCTCCTCACGCATGAGTTCACCCAAACAGGCATCCAGAGATGATACAGGATAGTGATTCATCATATTAGAACGTGTAGCCTCAAAATTTGGGCGTAGCTTCATCAAAAATTGATCCCTTTTGCTTGTCTCATGCACTGTCTGAATGGCAGATAGAGCTGTAGCGGAAACATTAGCATAAACAATATCAGAATATTCAGCCCAAAGATTTTGGAAACTAGAAAAATATTCCTCAATGGAGAGACTCCCTTGTGTAAAATAAGCCAGCTCATATTCCAACTGAAATCGACGGGCCGTGTTGTCCTGCTTGTAAAACTTACTAAGATAATCCCACATATAAGAAGCAGTTTTGTAAGATCGTAGGTTGAGAACAAGGTGAGGTTCAACTGAGCTAAGAATCCAAGTCATAACCTGAGCATCCTTGATTTCCCATGTAGAGAAAGCTTCTTTATCTTCTTTAGGGACGGGATCACTTCCATCAAGATGACCCCATAACTCTTTTTCTTTGACAAATAATTGAAATTAAAATTCCCAAGCTGAGTAATTTTTGCCATTAAAACATATGGGAAATAGTTCCAATTTATCCGAAGACATAACGGAATAAATTATCCTACAAAGATATAAAAATAACCAACCTGAAGCAACTAAGTGAAACCAAGAAAAAGAAAAGGACGGCCCAACCAAGTTAAGGCTCAATCTGTAAATATACTGCTAAAACCAAAAGAAATTCCACTGAAAACCCAAGAAAAAATCGTTCACCTCCTCAGTCCACTAGCAGTCAAGAATCAACTAGAAATCACCGGAGAATCCTTTACCGATGTCATCGAAACTTGAGGAACAGAGAGGAGGCCGAATCTACCAGCAACGCCTCTGATGACTAAAGAAACGGGTTCGTGTCATCCTGACTAGCGGAACCCGACCTGAAGTTTCAAGATAGACCACCAGAACTAGAAAGATGCAATGCAGAGGGCCGGAATCCACACAGAACAAAAATGACACACCGACGAAGAAGACGACGAGAGTGACGAGCGTCCAGGTGTGAGAAAAATCATGGCTCTGATACCATATCAAAAAAACCCGAATAATTTCTAAAAAATTTCACTTCTCCATTCTGTGGTGCCCTATTGTATATATATGTACAATCTTATAATCTACAAGGAAATTAAATAAATTACAATCTCCAAAAATACTATATCTAATCTATTCCAAAATTAACTCAAATATATACAGTAACATGTTCGACATTCAATAAGTTCCAAAAGTATTTATTGCCCTTTGTTTGAGGCTTTATCAGGCTATAATACCGTGAACTACTGCATGTTGCAGCCAGGCATATAATAATCTAAATTTTTCCATTACAATTAATAAACATACCCACAAAAACTAGCTCTAACTTTCCATTTTTGTCAATGTAGAATATCTTCTTATTTCTTGGCATTGGAACTAATGTGAACTGATATGCGAATTCTGATTCATTAAAAACTAAAGTTCTTGTGATGTGCTGTGGGGTGGAGACACCTATATTATTTCTGACTTGGGCTACACATGATGAACACATATTTTGAAGAACAGAGTTAAGGTTTGTATGAATTATAGGTCTAAGATGAGGGAAGCAGGCACATCCGAATGTCCTATGTAAGAATGAAACAGATCGCTAAGTGAGGGAAGCACACACACCAATATTCTCGCATTAATTCTCTTTACACATGACAATAGAAAGATCTGGAGTATCACGTCTATAAATTATGGAATATTCTTGATACCTAAGTGAGAAATACTGGGGCATGTATATCACATAATATGACTCTCAATACCAACCAATTGTGTATAAGATAATCTACTATTCAATCAGTGCACACCAAAAAAAAATGAGAGAAAAAATTGTTGGTTTTGAGCAGAACTCCCTAATGAGATTCTCCAACATTTTGGAAGTTACATGTTAGCAAACTTGATCAATACACTAACACGAATAGAAGAAATTCCACTTGTTCCTTGTGGAATGTCTTTTTAAATAACCAAAAAATATTTAGTACCAAGAACCTATACAAGGGAGCAGTCATGAGTGTGAAATTCAGTGGGGATGGTGCTAGCAAATTTTCTTTCACAACATAATTACAAGGCTTAGATGGTTGTTACTAAATAAGATGAATTACTATTCTGGTAATCCAGAAGAAGTGGAACTGATATAATTCCACTTTTGCAAGCATGCATCTAGAATGTATAAACTACAATACTTTCGTTTGACAACAATACCATTTCTTAATTACATACAGAAACAGTATCTTATAGCAATTCCTTACTGAAACAGTATCTTATAGCAAGTCTATAAGCAATTTAACTCCATTTATTTGATTGGTTGACTGGTCAAGGAAATACGAGACACATGATTGCAAAAGAAATTCTCAATCTATAATCCAGATAGAAAAACCAACCTTAAAATGTGGAGGAAAATGGTCCTTCAATTTCTCTCTTAGGCAAAGACCAATTACTGTCACCATGCTGCAGTGCTGTATTGTTGGTGTAAAAGTAATCCTATAAATCAATGGGGGAAAAAAATCTTTATTGCGCAAATTATTGCTCTGGAGTTAACCCATTGAGTTAAAAATTAAGGTTAATAAAATCAGGCCAGCAATCAAAATGAAAATCTACATGTAATGAATCCAGAGCCAGTTGAATTAAGTTGGCTACTAAAAATGAAATTGTTATCCACTAAATATCTGTAATAACGAAAACAAATGGTAATAGTAGTTAGTAGTCTCATAGTCGTATGCTCACAAAATGCGGCCCAGCTTCTCATCAACAGTAATGGACTCTTCAGAAAGCACGCTGAGCTGCTCTAGCGAATATGGATGCTCCGGATCTCTTATATCTCTTACAAAATGTATCGAGTTATTGTCAAAGATCGCACATCCAATTCGATTCACGCAATTCAGTTAAACTTGGCTCAATTTAATTGATTTTTTACCCCCAAAAAAAAAAAAAAAAAAAAAAGAGGGAAAATAGGCAAAATGGAAATCAACTAAAGGATATCGTAGATTTCAAGAGGATCAACGGCGTCATCGGTGTGAGAATCTTCAGTGCGAACGACACGTTCCTTCTTGGCATGGACCACCGGATTCGCATTAATCAGTCCCAAAGTCATCTTCAGTCTCTGTCTGTCTCTCACTGATTTTCAGATTGGGGAAATCGATTTAAGGCAATCTGAAATCGATTTAAGGCAAGAACATGAAAACGGTGAAGCACATATAAGATATTGACGCGTGTTTCGAAGTTAGTATCACAAATTCAATGCGTGATGCAGCCATACATGTACATTTTTGTCTGCTTGTAATAATTCACTCTCTCAAAAATTTTATTCGGTGCTTGTCTGTGTTTCATTATTTGTGAGCAATATATTATGAAATGGGAAATTCTATATGTACGTAATTATCTATATAATAGTGTCTATAATTATACGTAGTACTAGATTAATCTTTAATTCAAATTATACACTTGTACATCAACAATCGAATAATTGTCACAGCGCATTATGAATACCATTATGTACAAGTAGAATTTTCTTTATGAAATAGCGATTGACGTTAAAATGTGTGGTTAAAAAGAATGCATTTTTTTATTTATGTGTAATATTATTTTAATAAAGAAATATAATTGAAAATAAGTACTGTAAAAAAATAATGTGATAGAATATAAAAAAATAATAGACAAACAAAACCTTAGTTTTGCCATTACTAGAGAAAAAATTTAACAATTTTTTACAGAAAAATACTTGCAATTTTTTTATTGATTTTTGACATAACAACTGCATCATAAAGATATTGCCACCGCAGCACTTATATCATTTTTGTCAATAATTCTGGAATTATTCATTTTTATTAGTAAAATCAATTTTGCTACAAGTAAAGGGAAATTTGACAAAAAAATTTGCCAAATGTCAACACTGAGTAAGCATCTTTTAATCTAATTTTTTTCGATCATCCAATCCAAGGACACCACCTCTCCCACTATGAAACATCCATGTACTTATGGCTATTTTTAATAAAATTGAACTTAGCAATTATTGGCTCTATTAAAAATAGATTTTGAGAGAAATATATTTTGAAATAGTATATTTTTAAAAAATATATATTTATGCTTAAAATAAAATAAAAAGTTTTATGTTTGCTATTTATAAAAATAGATACATACATGTATCATCTCAAAATCACTTTGAGAAGTTAAAACTCAACCAACCTAAAGTATAGTGAGCAATAAAAGGGTTCATCGAAATATAGTAAGCAATTAAAGACACCTTCTTTATATGGACCGTCCCTCATTTTTACCGAGGATTATTCAATGATTTAATGTGTTAACTTGATGGAAAAAGTTGAAGATTTATAAAAGCTAAGTCCAATCATGAAATTAAAACAATGAATACTAATCTAGATGTCCATACAAAGCAGATAAATTTTACAAGGATAATAATAAATTATATTTACATGTTACTTTATAATACTCAATAGTATCAAATTTAATCAATATAACGTGATTTGCAATACACTTTTGGGGTGAAGTATTGTTGCATGTAGAACACAAGAGGAATTTTGAAATACAATCAAAAGTTGGGTGGCTTTTTGATATATGACCACTTTTGAAAACATTTGTAAAAATGTTCCTTTTTATTGCAATTTTATTTTATTTTATTATTATTATTATTATTATTATTATTATTATTATTATTATTATTATTATAATTATTGTATGACTAAAAGTTCATAGCAGTTGAAGGTTGGTGCACACAATTTGAGATAAAAGCAATCAAAGTAGGACTTTTTTTTTTTTTTTTAACGAGGTAACCCAGCTTACACCAGATTATATCCTCATCCCTGAACTTCCGGCCCCTCAGCAGCTCAGGGAGGTAAATCAAAGGATGTGCCCAAGTTGACCAGGGTTCGAACAGCCTTTATACTCCTGGCCCCAATGTAGCCTCCTCCATAATTATTACATCACCAAGCTGCTCCAAACCTTCCTCTGGTTATTACAACACTCAGCTGCTCCAACCAGGAATCGAACTCCCCACGCTGGGGTTGCGAGCCCCGCACTGTCCTTCCTTTGCCAACTTGGATGTGCCCCGGGGGGCTAATCAAAGTAGGACTTACTCCTACACAAGATAATTTGGTTAGCTCATAATCAAAGAATATATCTCATTTTCATAATTCAAATAAAATAAATAAATAAGTGATAGTTTACTGTCAAAATAGATAATTTAGTGTCAAAACCGACATTTGATAGTGAATGGACTATTTCAATAATTCAATGATTTTATCGGTTCAATACTTTAACCATCGGTTTCAACAGTTCAACTCCTTTCAGTCTATTCATGTTCAAAAACTTTAAAAAATCATGTATCGCAAAAACATACAAAAAAATTTAATAGACTCTATCAGCAAAAATAAAACTACCAACATAAAAAAAGAACCAAACTCTAATTCGAAATGACATGTGAAAAGTCTACTTTGCCCTTTTACAGAAATGTCCCTATATATAATTCCTCCAGCCTGGAATGTAGGTTGTTGACTATGTATTGTCTTGTTGGTACTGGGGAACTTTGCTACTCAACTGGTTTTTGTAGTAGTAAGATTTGGAGTGCCATTTCAAACGGTAGAATTGGATTTGAGCTGCATTATTTTCTTGATTGTGAATCAGTATGTCTACTTTCTTGACTTAAGATAGATACGTGTGCAGCAAGGGCTAAAGAAGTGTTTAAATGGTGAATCCTTGCAGCTTTGTTTGTCGATTTAATCTACTTGTACGAAGTTTGTGTACAAACTAAGTGTTGGCAAGATCTAGATCATAAATTTTTATTAATTACAAACTAAGTGTTGACAAGATCTAGATCATTAATTTTTATTGATTTCAAAAACTGTTCAAAATGCATCAAAACGCGAAAATGAGCCTAGAACGAGCATTGGCACCACACAAGCACAATGCTAACACCAAGCTAGTGCTAGCTCTTTGCACAGAATTTCAATGGCGTTGCTTGAGCATTAGGCTAGCGGCCAACTAGCGAAAAAGTGTCGAAAATTTCTTCCTAGTCCATGTCTTGACCTTTTCAAATACAACACAAATCTTAACTCCCAATTGGACATTCAAATAGAACTTTAACTAGAATTTGCCAAATAAACTTCGAATAGGATTCCAAATAAAATTCTGGTCATACTTTAATTCTAACAAACTCCACCTTGGCAAGAATTCCATTGCAATGAACAAAATTTCAAAGATTCTCCAATTGGAGACAAAATTCCAGTGTAAGGAATAAACTTTAACTTTTCAACAAAAACACATACGAAATTCTTCATCAAAATTTTCAACTGAAATATTCTCCAAAACTCTACCACCTAACTAGCACAAAACACAATAACTAAGTATTAACAAAATTCCAAATACTAGGTTCGGACATCAACAAATAGGGTAGAAACGAGACCTGAAACAGAATTACCACAACTAAATGCATTGAAAGAAAGGCTAGAATCAACACCCTTAACCGCATTCAAACCATAATCAACTAAATCAACAATATTATATCTATGCTGAGGTTATGATAAAAAAAAAATGACTCTATTACTGGCAACTAAATACAATGTCACCATCAATAATGGTAGCAAAGCAACATTACCCATAACTTCTGAATTCAACTAACATGTATTCATTAAAGAAGACCCCAAATTAGACTCCAAAGGTACATAATCCAACTCTATATCCACTTGAGCTCTTAAAATATGCTAATTGATCAAAGATTCTGTATAACACTGTAAAATAAATAACTGAAATTTTCTACGTCCCTTCGACAAAATATGGGCATCTTTACTAACATTCAGGACTCCACCTTTAACAGTATACTTGTATCCTTTTGAATCAAGAGTACTCAAGAAGATAATATTTCTCTTCAAATTTGAAACGTGTTTCACTGCATCAAGTGTTCTAACTGTCTCATCAAACATCTTTTTCCCAACCCGACCAGTACCAACTATCCTACAAAGGTATATTATTTTTCATTACCACAAAACATTTTGAAACTATTTTATATGTTGAAAATAAATCCCGATTGGGACAGATGAAAGGAGGAAAACTGTATCAAGAATCCAATCTTCGTCAAGTTTGGAGTCATAATAAAAAATAAATAAAAGATTTCTCCATCACTAGACAATTTTATGTAATTTTGGATTTTCGCGAAGTTTCTGATTGCATATTTGCAGCCAATTTATTTATTTATTTAGTTTATTCAGCAACTCATAACAATCATTTATCAAGTGTTACTTTTTCTTGCAGTAATTATAAATTTTGAAGTTAGACTTTAATTTGTCTCTTGCAAAATCACCATTAACAAAAAGGCCATCTCCATGAACCTCAGATTTAATAAGATACTTATTCTTTTCCTTTGGATATAGAGCATTATAGACTTCTTTAATGGTAAGAATATTACAACTATATAAAATCGTGTCTCTAAAAGATATATATAAAGCTGACAATGAACATAACAAAATCAAATTCAAATCTTCTTCATCATATTTAACTTCCGAGGTTTCCAAATCAGTGAGGTTTTTCTTAAAAATAACTTGGTGATCTTTAAGGGATGTACCTTATGTCATACGATGAGTATATAACCGTTTCTTTAGTTGTAATTTGTTAGTTTGAATCTTCATCGTGCATAATTGCTCTAATTTCAACTATAATAGAGTGGCTGACTTCTCTTTTAAAACGTCTTGAAGAATACATTTTGAAAGATGAAGATGAATATGAGATAGGGCCTTTTGATTTCT